CACGAGAGATCGTGTAAGCTGCAAGTGACATTAATAAAACCCCCACAGATTTTTCCAATCTTCTTGAATAGGTCAAGACACCAAAGATGCACCGGGAGACCCACCATGTTGACCACCAATGTTTCGCCAGTGAAACGAGGGTCGAGACACCCATCGTGCTCCACCCATCTGTCTAGCTTTAAGAAGTTCCCATCGAACCACTTGTTTCCTCTGACAAGAATTTCTGAAGCTTGAGACTCGTCGACAAATCGAAAGAGATATTGCGTGTTCCCCAGTTGCGATATTTTCAGCCCGTCCTTGACGTTCCATGTCTCTGCTGCCCAGTTCCTAACAGCCTCTGGTGAACCAACCCATTTGGAGAAAGACCCAATCAAACAAGATTCCAAGAAACCCTTATGCCTGAGAGTGTGCTCCTCGGACAGCGAGAAGTGCGGCTCCTGCCCTACGTCAAGCTTTCGATGGCATCTTCCCCCAAGTTCTAGGGCTGGCCAAGAGGCAGCTTTGATGAAAGACATGTTTTCCAGTTTTCTAGATTCTAGGGAGAAGTAGGAGCTTCTCTCTGTAGAGTCCATCATAGCTAAACCAAAAGCCTCGATAGGAGGCTGACCGAAGAAGAGGAAGTTAGAGGGAGTGAAATCTGGCCGGAAAAAGCCACATCTATCGTCGGAAAATAGTAAAAGTGGTCGGAATTTGGAGGTTGGTGGATGGGTGGGGTCGGAACAGCCTCGCGAAGAGGCTGTCTGAAGAAAAGAAGTTGAGATCTGGCCTGGAAAGGCGTCACGCGCCCGCGCGTGGGTTAGAGGTAGTCGGAGCTCTGCCGCGCGTGACGGCGCGTGGGGTGTCGGATTCCGAAGATTTTTTCTGGGGTAGTGTCGCGGCGAGGTTGGCTCTCGTATGGTGGTGGTGAAATCTTAGGATTCATGATTCTCAGGCGTCTCGGGGAGAGTGCCTGGGAGCATTTTCTCTGTTTTTCAAACTAAGGGCACAGATTATAGCCTTGCATTCAGAACTTTGATAGTCTAACTTGACTTGGTGTAGCAGTTTTGGACAAATCCAAAGTGACCATGGTTGATTAGTGACTGATTGTTAGCAGTGGATACATTTCCTTAACTTTATGGGAGTTATAGAGTTGATAGTTTCACTATAAAGTTGCTCCCTTGTCTTCTTGTTTTACCTAACTGTGAAAAGATTCAAAATAAAGAACAGTAGGCTGAAGATGAATCTTGATATCCCTCTTAGTAACATGGACAAGAGAAACAATACATGGTAAGTATAGATCTTCCTAATGTCTGATAGACTGGATTATCTTTCAGTGAAGGCCCTAAGAATATACTCTCAACCAGATTCTTTTTGTGTTTATGGTTCTGTTACGAGTGTTTATGCATTATCATGCTTATTGTGCTTAAACAGGTCTGCACAATAACAAACAGCTTTAAAGCGAGTGTTTTCTGAACTAGTTTTTTGTTGTTTAGGTCAAGAGATTTTCTGTCATGTCGGGTATGTTAATAATATTTTTTGTGGAAGTGTTACATTGTCATTTTACATGCTGCAAAACTAAGCAGCGAGAACAAAATACTTTGGTCAAGTCTCTCAGATCAGTTGCCTAGGATCACCCTTCTCTAGTGACCCTTTTCCTACTCTCTTATCTCCTAGGCGGGAGCTGGATTGATCTTTTTTCTCTAATCAAATAAAAGAGGAATTGGATTTGCACACCTGAGTAATCAAATTAATTCAATGAGGCTTTACATGAGATAGTGCCTTTGTTTAAGTTATTCAGATTATTACAACAAGTCAACAACAACTACGCCTCAGTCCCAAACAAGTTGGGTCGGTGATATGAATCCTCATTCCTTCGTTTTGCTCAACTCATATCATCATCATTACCAAATAAAATAAAAGTGCAAGTAAAACAAAGGTAAATAAATTTAATATATATATATATATATATATATATATATATATATATAGTAATAATAATAATAATAATAATAATAATAATAATAACAATAATAATAATAATAGAAATTTTCTACCAAGTTTAAAACCTGTTCACAACTAGTAGGTATCACAAACATGGATTTTTCTCTTCCATTGTGCCCTATCTTTAGCTAAGTTATTCAGATTGCTTAGCTGATTTTGAGAGAAGTGAACACTATCCAGATGTCGCTTAATATTGTTTAAGCTTGAGAGAGAAGTGAACAACCTCACAACCTTCTACGGCTGTAACTTGATCCTTTCCGTTTTTTTAAGTACTCATGGTTCAAATTTAATTGGGATATTCAGTTGATAAATCTTTTTTTCTCATATCTTATTATTGAGCCTCTATAATTTGGATGGTACAGGTTCCACTGAGAATTGGAGCATTTATGTGCTCCTTGATTCATGGTAGAATTAACAGCAGTGATTGTGTTGCACTGAGAAGAGATCATAAATCCTTGAATCCTATTGGATGCATCTTGGATGATATCAGCTGACTAACACTCATCTGTTTCATTGTTGTGCTTAGAAATTCTCTAGTTCTTCGAGCAATCTTTAACACGTCATTCCAGAAATTATTAAATGTTAAAACATTAGAGATTTGGTTGAGCAAGGACGGTAGTATTTAGTCAAGCAAAAGAGAGTGGTTAAACCACTAAAGCTTGGTTTGGTTTAGATTTGAAGAGACACTGAATGCTGAAGACAGCTAAGATGGAGTATAGACATTGGGAATGCACTTTGTATTAACTTGGTTTATTGTTGAGGAGCTTCATTAAGTATAAGAACATAATAATTATCAGCAAGTCTTTTTGATAAGCTTAAAAGCTTTATTAAAGAAAGTACCAAGATGGTGCAAAAGAGTACATGAAATAGATAGAGGCTTATAAGCAGCCTATTACTGTTTCCTTCCTGCTATTGAGAATGGACCGCTGGACGACAAACATAAGTATAAATGTGTGTTTCTTTTTTTTTTTTGAAATCTCTTTACTGCTATATATGAAATTGGAATCTAGAACTTAATGAATTTTCATTGAAGGCAACTTCAAGAAAAGTTTGTCTCCCTTTTTTGGTCATGGCGGGGGAAAAGAAAAGAGGGTTTGAGGCACTGTTGGGGTCAGATTGATTTCGTTCATCCTTGATCAGGAGCCTATAGAACAGGNGGCTCATATGAGCTGTGCTTAAGCCCTGAAGCTCAAAAAAGCTCGGGAATGCGCTTCGCCTCACTTAGGCTGCGCTTTTGTGTAGGCAAGGCATCTGTTCTATAGGCTCGTACCATTGTATCCTTGAGTTCTAAGGAGACAGAAAACCAAGTCTGGTTGATGAGACGTGGTTATGAGACTAGAGCGTGATTAACAGTCTACCATGGTTACTTGTGGCCTTGGAGCAGTAGAGGATCGTTACAGACTCCAATCTTTTCTTCTCAAAAAAAAAAAACTTTGTTCGGCAGGAAATTCATAAAGTTTGCACATTTTGATAAAATGGGACATTATGTGCAAAATCAATGTTGTCAAAGGCTCATATGAGCTGTGCTTAAGCCCTGAAGCTCAAAAAAGCTCGGGCATGCGCTTCGCCTCACTTAGGCTGCGCTTTTGTGTAGGCAAGGCATCTGTTCTATAGGCTCGTACCATTGTATCCTTGAGTTCTAAGGAGACAGAAAACCAAGTCTGGTTGATGAGACGTGGTTATGAGACTAGAGCGTGATTAACAGTCTACCATGGTTACTTGTGGCCTTGGAGCAGTAGAGGATCGTTACAGACTCCAATCTTTTCTTCTAAAAAAAAAAAAAACTTTGTTCAGCAGGAAATTCATAAAGTTTGCACATTTTGATAAAATGGGACATTATGTGCAAAATCAATGTTGTCAAAGGCTCATCTGAGCCGTGCTTAAGCCCTGAAGCTCAAAAAAGCTCGGGCATGCGCTTCGCCTCACTTAGGCTGCGCTTTTGTGTAGGCAAGGCATCTGTTCTATAGGCTCGTACCATTGTATCCTTGAGTTCTAAGGAGACAGAAAACCAAGTCTGGTTGATGAGACGTGGTTATGAGACTAGAGCGTGATTAACAGTCTACCATGGTTACTTGTGGCCTTGGAGCAGTAGAGGATCGTTACAGACTCCAATCTTTTCTTCTCAAAAAAAAAAAACTTTGTTCGGCAAGAAATTCATAAAGTTTGCACATTTTGATAAAATGGGACATTATGTGCAAAATCAATGTTGTCAAAGGCTCATATGAGCCGTGCTTAATCCCTGAAGCTCAAAAAAGCTCGGGCATGCGCTTCGCCTCACTTAGGCTGCGCTTTTGTGTAGGCAAGGCACTAAGGTGTGTTCCTCATTGCCCATAAGTTCTAATTGGAATAGAGCCGTACAAAAAAATAAATGTAATTGGCAAAAAAGATGTAATTGTTAAGGAAATTATTATGAATGAAATTCTTATTTTCTTCTTGCATTACATATATTTTTTTCTTCGTTGAACCTTTTTTCACTAAAGCCCACACTTTAATCACGCTTTGCGCTTAAAGCTCCCATAGACCTGGAGCGATTTTTAATGCTTTTCGCCTTTGACAACACTGCAAAATGATGAAAGTAGGATGATATTTACCCCGTTCTTAAAAATTAGGGCCACTTACTGTTTCTTTTTTACGATTGAATCTTAGATGTGCTGGGACCATTATAGAATTAGTTTAGAACTATGTTTGGGAGGCTTTTCTGCAGAAAGGCAACTTAACAGTTGAACAAACGAAAAGCAAGCTACTTTATGTTCACAGTATTTTGGTTGCGACCCAGCTAACTTTCATGAAAACATTTGTACAGGCATAAGCATGTGCTCATAAATGTCTACTACTAAAACTACTATATGTGATGCCTTTAAATTATGTACAACAAATGATCATGTAATTTGCTCGGCCAATTTAACTGTGCGCTACTGCTCCTTCCTTGATCGTTTGATGCCTTTGTATGTTCATATCCCTGCTAATTTTTAAATGTTGCATCTGTCTTTCTTGTTATTAAGTTTGAATCTTTTCAACAGGTCACCTCAGCTCAAACGTCTTAGACTCCTATGCTCCTACAATGTCTCAGGTGAGGCGTTGAGTGCGGCATTGAAGAAGTGTCCACTATTGGAGGAACTGCACCTTTACCACATCTTAATCGGCAAAGAATCCATTGAAAATATAGGCCGCTCATGTCGTGCTTTGAAGTCATTTAAGTTGAACAACCAGGTATTTAGACACCCCTGCATTGAATACGATGAAGAGGCAATAGCAATTGCAGAGAACATGCCTAAACTGCACAACCTTCAAGTTGTTGGAAATAAGATGACAAATGAAGGGTTGGAAGCTATTCTTAATGGTTGCCCTAACCTAGAATCACTTGATCTGAGACGATGTTTTAATGTCAATCTAGGAGGGGATGTAGGGAAGCGATGTTCTCAACAGATCATATATCTCAGACGCCCTCATGACTCCACCGAAGATTATGAACTTGATGCAGGAATGCATGATTGTGAATCATTTGATGAGGATTACCCATCTGGATTTTCTGACATCGACCTTATCTCAGATGACGATGATTACTATGAATTTTCAGATGTCAGCAACTATTCCGGTGATGAAGAGATGTTCTTTGAATAGCAGTTTGACAGCCCTTCTGCTCTATTGATGGTAAACATGCTGCTAGTATTTCATGAATATCTCAATTTCCATGTCATTTGAACACCTATATAGTTGTTTTCAATGGTTTAATTTTCTAAATGTCCTTTTTCTCTCATATTGTGAGAATATAGGAAAATGGAGAAGATTAACTAGTTGACTGGTTTGTAAGCCCGAAGAACGTGTAGATTTGTGGTAGTTAAATTAAACGTCCTTTGCCTCTCTCATTGTGCAGCTACTCACTATTATAAAGTACACACTTTAATCATTTGATCCTTGTAACTTTTCCTAATGATACTCCAGCTTAATTTGCTCTTCAGTTTTTCTTGTTGATGCCATTAATCTGTTAGATTTTTGCCTTTATTTATCAAGTTTGGGTTGAAGTGAACATTGGGAACTTCTACCTGTTGAGAACTTCATTATTATATTTTGAAAGAAGTGTCCACAACATGAGCAAATCTGAAAGATGATAATTCTTCAAAAAAAAAAAGAAAGAAAAATAATAAAGCCTTTTGTGATATACACCGGCCTCTTTAATTCCTGCTGAATCTTTTGTTAATAGTATGACAAGCTGAGCCAATAAAGTATATTATGTTCTAATTCTGCTAAGATTGTTGTTTGCTCAATTAAAATAAGTCTGTTGAGATGTGAAGTGAAACTCTAATACAATTACATAAACAGTTGAGATTCATCCGAATTATTTTGAAGCTCACTGATCGCATATAAGCGAACTTTTCGTTTTTGTTTTTTCCAATTTTAACTGCAATGTGAAACAATTATCATAATACTTGTGACTTAAAGATTGAGTATATGTACTTAAAACAAATATCTTGAGAATAATTTTCACAGTCAATGTTCTTTTTTTGTCTCGAATTCAACTTTTTTTTTCTCTCTCTTCTTTTTCTTTTTTAATCGCAATTAGTATTTTAATTGAATTGGCAATATCATTTATTCACATTCGAAGTTCTGAGTAAAAATGACTAACGACGAGAAAAACTAAAAAATCACTGTTAGGACATCGAATTCAAAACAAAATTTAAGAGATACCCCAAAATCTTTATCCATTTGTAATAAGCCAATATATGACTAACACGTCAGCAAACAAGTATCTAAGTGTATCCAGTATAGTCCTTTCTGTGGCCACAAACTCTTCAGTTGGCTATGCCACAGAAACTTCTTTCCACCCAAAAAAGATTTATAACAATTTAAACAAACAAAATCAACAAAATATAGAAAATAACACACTTTCAATTCTTTGAACTTTCTGCAACAATGGCTGCCACAATGATGACTTCTCTCCCACAGTTCAATGGACTCAAACCCAAAACTTTCTCAACTTCTCCAGTTCAGGGCTTGGTCAGTTCCTCTATTTATATTTCTTTCTATCATTATTTGTTTACAAATTAATTCGTTATAGCATGTTATATTTTATTTTCAAAATGATCATATTACGCTTGTTATGAAAAACAAATACTCGTAATGTATGTAAACTTAATCTATTAATATAATTTTTTTTGTAATAGTGCATAGAACTTAAACTCTCATTTTTTTTGTATATTTTATGCAGGTGGCAGTTCAACCAATGAGGCGTAAAGGACATGGCGCTTTGGGAGCTCGCTGCGATTTCATTGGCTCGCCCACAAATTTGGTAAATAACCAATTACCTAGTGCTAAGACTTATTAAAGAAAATCAGAAAATCTTAATTTGCAAAACATTAAAATGGGCTCGATTATTCAGTAAAACTCATGTGTGGATTTATTTATAGTTTCTACTTGCTGAAAAAAATAACCAAGAACCTTGTATTTGGAATTTAAAACATTCCGAGAAACAAAATAAAAGTAAAATTTCAAGAAATAAAATGGAATCTTAGCACTAATTCTACCCTTTTCTTAAAGTTGAATGTTGAAATCGGTCAAAAGTACTGATCACACTAACAACGGGAGTAAAAGACAGGTTATTTCTTAAATTCTTGATTTTACTTGGCTCAAATTCTTAAATTAATATATCTAATTTTAACTTTTTACAATGACGGAATAAAAGAATTTTGGCACTCACAAATCACCTAAACGATAACTATATATAATTGGCCATAAGTAGTAGAATTAGTAACTTGAAAAATGAACGGTTGCTCTGGAGCAACGATAAAATTATTACCGTGTGACCTATAGTTCACGAGTTTGAATCTTAAAATTAGTCACTACATGATGCTAGCGTCAAGATAAGCTGCCTATATCACACCCCTTAAGGTGCGACCCTTCCCCGGACCCTACGCGAATGCAGAATTCTTATCAGGCTACACTTTTAGTAATCTGGAAAAAAAAAAAATCTTTACGAAGTTAGCGCACATAATTCTTATTCTGTTTATCATGAACAACTAATGACAACATCAACAAATCTAATGTTGTTTGCTGGTAAAGTTGTTTCCGTATGACCTATAGGTCACGGGTTCAACTCGTGAAATCAGCCACGGACAGAATAGGCTACCTACATTATACCCCCTTCGAGTGCAATCATTCCCCGGACCCTACGTGAACATAAGATGCTACATGTACCAAACTACCCTTTTAGCAACCTGAAAAATAAAGCAGTTATAGTAGTAAAAAAAAAATAATTACACAATTAGTGCACATAACTCAAATTCTTGATCTTACTTGGCTCAAATTCTTAACTTAACTCAGTCATAAGTTAATTAATGTATTTGATTTTAACTAAACTTTACATATTGACGGTATAAAAGAATACTTATACTATCAAGTCACCTAAAAGATAACCTGAAAAAATGAAGGGTTGTTTTGGGCAATGGTAAAATTATCTCCACGTGACCTATAATTTACGGGTTCGACCTCGTAAAATCAGCCACTGACATGATAGATTGTCTATATCACTCCCCTTAGTGAACGTATGATGCTTCGTGCAACAAACTATCTTGAAAAATAAAACAGTCATAATAGTAAAAATATTCTTTACGAAGTTGGTGCACAATACTGCACATAATTCAAATTCTCATTGTGTTTATGATGTACAGATAATGGTGACTTCAACCAGCCTAATGTTGTTTGCTGGTAGATTTGGGTTGGCACCATCAGCAAATAGGAAGGCAACTGCAGGACTAAAGCTTGAGGTAAGGGACTCAGGCCTACAGACTGGGGACCCTGCTGGATTTACACTTGCTGATACTTTGGCTTGTGGTGTTGTTGGTCACATTATTGGTGTTGGGGTTGTTCTTGGCCTCAAAAATATTGGTGCTATCTAAAATTGATTTGTACTACTAGACATCTCATTTATCTCTGTTTATACCCTTAATTAATCTTTTGTGAATTATTCCTATTTCTAGCATCTTTTTCTAGCTAGCTCGATTACATTTTTTTCTTTTTGAATCATGGATTTGTTTGCAAAGGAAGGAAGCTATTAGAACGAAAAACAACAATAACAACAATAATAACGCTTCAGTCCCATGCAAATTAGAATTGGCTATATGTGCAGTGGCGTACGCATGATATTTCGTAGTCGGTGTCACAATTTGAAGAAGTGAACTAATGGACAAATCATTATAATGATAAGCGGTGTCACTTTTTATATTTATCGTTAATATTTTTCATTTTTCTTATCCATATCTACTAAAAAATTTAATTTCGACGAAGTGTGTCATGTGACAACGCATGCATCAAGATTAGGGGTGCTTATCGGGCGGATCGGGTGAATAATTATGCTTAATGGTTCGGCTTATCGGTTATCTGATTATAAATGTAGTAATCCGCTAGCCATTCAATAAGATAACGAGCGGATTGATATCGGATTAACGATTATCAGGTGGTTATTGGGCGGTTTATTGGCTAAACCAAATAGAAATTATTTGAACAATCAATACTAAACGGCCAAATGCATAGTTCAAATTGTCTCTGTTAGTCTTTGAACAATCAATACCATTAGCATTGTTATCCACAAAGGTAATACTATGGCCTAGAGAGGAATTCAATTCATGTCCACTCATAATTCATGAGAAGACAGAGACGACTGCCATTAGTTACAGACAATTCTATCATTCTATGTACAACTACTTATGCAATAATGTAGTAACAAATTTATATGCATATGGGTAAAAGTGTAAATATAAAAATTCTTAACGGGTTAACGGTTCACCCGATAAGAAAATTGAGTAATCCGCCCCCAAACTGTTAAGTCGTTAATTATAAAATCTCAATCCGTTCACCATCCATTACTCCGATAATCCAATACCAATAAGCCAATAAGCTATCAGTTCGATTTTGAACAACCCTAAACAAGATGCATACGTTCCTGTGTATGAGTTCTCGCTTCTTCAATTAAGCTCAATGGATAAAAATCCTGCGAAATTCAAGATTTACTTAGAAATCATTTTTATGTTATCAATATCTCAAATCCTCACCTCAAGCTCTCTTCACAAATAAATAAAATGTCCAGAGATTCACAGAGAAGACGTGGAAATTATAGACCCAAATGGTTTTCTTTTTGCTTGTTTTCAATTTGTTCTTTGTTTTAGCCATCCATTGAAGGAGAAGTTACTCTTTGCGAACAATATGTGAGGTATCAATCAACACTATCATCAAAAGACATTAAAAAGAAGAAGAAATTGCTCTGAACAAGTACAACAGAAGTAGATTTTAGGCAAAATATATCGATAGCCCCTTAAAGTTGTTCACAATTTTCACTTTGACACTTTATCTTAAATTTGTTCCATTTGAACACTTTAACCGGACCTTCACTCTGTCATTTAGACACAAAATTTAATAGGCAGCCAAACATAAAATATGCGTGTAATTCACACGCCAAGTAACGAATAAGAAAAAGACACGTGAATTTAATTTCAACAAATTAATAAAAAACATTTGGAGAAAATAAAAGAAAAATAAGAACCCCACCCACCCCTTCCCAGACGACCCCTTCTTCCTTTATCCCACCCTACCACTCTTTAATCTTCTACAAATCCCCTACCGACGACCGATCCTTGTTACTCCGATTCATCTCTTCCATCGGCGACCGGTCCCTGTTCACCCATGCTTCTTACAACCCCCTTCTTTCCGTCGTCTTCCCAGCGTCTCCCTCATCTATTTCACCCTCTTTGGCAAAAATCCAAATTTTTTTATTTACAATTCCCACAAAAAAATTATATTTGCAGAGATTTACAACCCTTGAGCTCCAAATATATTAATAAATGGTACTTTTCTTTTGCAATTACAGTGAAAATTCACATTTCAATAATTGCATAGACTTTTAATTTGTGTAATTTTAGATATAAATTAGAGAAGACTGTATGTGTGCGTGATAATAAAACCTTATTTTGTGTGTATTGAACAAGAAAATAGAGGGGTCAAAGGCAATATCGAAATTGACAGCGAAAACTGGTGGAGAAATGACGTGAAGAGGAGTTGTTTTAGAGGTTGTTTTGCAGTGGTGTCATGGTAGTTTGGGGGTGGTTCAGCTGGGTTTGATGGCTGGTTTAATGGTGTTTGTTACTGTTTTTTTGAAAGAAAAATAAGGTGTATTTAATGGAGGTTTTTATGGTGTTTCATGGAGGTAAGGGCGGACGTTGGTCGGTTCGATTAGGTTTTGTAGAAGTTCGGTTATGTTTTTTTGGTTTGCGATTTTAATAACCAAAACCGAATCAAAGTATTTTTGGTGCGGTTCGATTTTCTTGCGGTTTGGTGCGGTTATTTCGGTTTGATTTTTCGGTTTTAGGTTAGAGATCCAAAAAGGACAGGTAGAGTATGGCTTGGAACTTTTAATACAGTAGAGGATGCAACTCGAGCTTATGATAAAGCTGCTATTGAATTTAGAGGTCCTAGAGCTAAGCTTAATTTCTCATTTGCTGATTACACATCAATTCAACAGCACAATACTATCACTTCAATATCTTGTTCAAAGCAGCAACAACAAGAGCCGGTACAGTTAGAGCAGAGAAATAAAACAGATGCTGGTATTGGAAAAGAAGAAGAATTCTGGGATCAATTAATGAAATGGGATAATGAGATTCAAGAATGCTTGAACATGATGGATTTCAATGGCCATTCTTCAGATTCTGCTGGGAATTTGGAGGGAGTATTGCTCATAGCTTCTGATGATCACTTTCAATTAAACAAGAATTGAAAAGGAAAGTAGAAAAAGAACAAAAGAATTTGCTGTAGACTAAGGTGTTTTTCATGCCCATTCAGTTTTATAAAATTTGGGATATTTAATATTTCTATATTTAGATGTACTTCAAGTTTTCTTCTTTTGTTCAGATTGTATCCATCATTGGTAAATGAGAGGCTGCAGGACTCATACTTAAAAAAAACTTTGGTTTTTCGGTTAACCGAAAAATCGAAATACTAAAACTGAACACTGAATCGAACACCAAAGTTTCAAAAAATATAAACCGCAAACTGACCGAAAAATCGAATAAACCGAATCATATAAACTGAAATTGTTGGTTCGATCGATTTTTCCGATTCGGTCGGTATTATGCCCACCCCTACATGGAGGAGTTTCGTTGGTTTCATGGTGCAATACACCTGAATTTTTATTTTTTTTTATAAATAAATTTGGTTTTAGATGAAGCGGTGGGTATGGTGATAGAAGTTGCCGGCACAGTTGTAGTAGTATCCCATTGAGAAGATGAATAAGAGAAATAGATTTTTATTTAAAAGAATGCCTTTTGTTTCCACCTGTAGTTCGAGCCCACATCAATGGCCATATATATGCAGTTGACGCTCTTAAGAGAGGTGTCAGATACGCGCAATGACATGTCAGTATTTTGTGCAGGGAACTTTTAGTTAAAATTGTACCTTATGTTTTGAGGTAAATTTAACTTTATCCTTTTATCTATTGTCCTTAGCACTTATTGTCCTTTAAGTTTGCTAAACTTGAGCAGGTTTAGTCCACTTAAGAGTTTTTAGCCAAAATTATCCCTTATGTTTGGGGTAAGTCTAACTTTATCCTTTATCTATTGCTCTGAGCACTTATTGTCTTTTCAGTTTGCTAAACTTGAACAGATTTAGTCCACTTAACAAAAAACCCAAACTGGTAGGTAAAAAAACTTTCAGTACTCAAATTTTGCAGCACCGATGTATTGAACCTAAACCTGTTTAACCGGCCGGATTGACTCGGTTCCGGACCGACCTAGACCGGTAGTAAATCGGACCGGCCAGGACTGGTGGAAGGGGGGCGAGTAGGGCTGGGTTTGGGGGTTAGTCCGTCTATATTTTTTTACCGGTTAACCGGACCGGTCAAACTCGGTCAATGAAAATTACTGTTAAATCGGTTAACCGGCCCGGTTGAGAAATAAGACCAATGGGTTCTTAAACAAACTTGAAAAAGGAATTTAATTTTTCAACAGGTCGTTTCAGTAGTCAGAGGTCTACTTTGACAATATTCAATCAGCCAACACCTGAAGAACGGTTGAGAAGAAATCACGTGATTCAAAAATCAGGGTAACGTGTAGAAATTGGAGCACTAAGATGGCATTTGGTTGAAAAATTTTGAGTTTTCAAAAAAAGAAAACTGCGTCCATGAAATCATTTTCTCAAACATACACCACTTCATCAACCAGCTCGTTTGGTACGGGGATAAAGAATAATTACCTCGGGATTAACTTTGAGTAGAATTTATTTTATATTTTGTTGGAATAAAATCGTGGTATAATTAATTCGGGAATTAATTATCCCGAGATTATAGTATTTTTTTATTCCTATGGGAGGGTGAGATAACTAATCTTGAGACAATTAATCATGCAATAACTTGTTTCCCAACCCAACAACCCCTTAGGAGGGATAAGGATAATAATCCCAGGATAAAATTGCATCCATGAAATCATTTTTTCAAACATACACCACTTCATTAGAGATGAGAACTTCATCAATTACTTAGGGTCATTTGGTACATGAGATAAGGATAATAATTGTGAGATAAAGTTCGGGATTAACTTTATCCTATGTTTGGTTTGAAATATTAGCTAATCTCCGAAATAACTTTTACACTAAAATGGTGGAATTAACTATCACATGTAGAAGGTGGGATAACTAATTCCATGAGATATCTCAGCATTGTACCAAACAATCCCTTAAGCCTCAAATAATATTAAACTTTTTAGAGCTTCACATCTTTAATCTGACAAGAAATTCTGCTACGCCTTCATTTGTCATACTGTAAAGTGGTGCAAGACTGATAGGTTTTCAGCAATAGCTAGAGCTACTTTATTTCTTTCATCAACTTCATAAATTAAGGAGCATTCAATTCAAAAAGACTTCAACTGTGGCCAAGAGCTTCAATTCAATGCTTTCTGTTGTGATAGTTGTGTGTGTGTATGTCTCAGACTAACCTTTTTTAACAATTGGAGCTTTTGAACTACTTTAACCAAGCCTTCGCATATTATACCATGGCAATTTGCAATACCAAGTCTTTTCATTTTTCCTTACCTGGTGAAAAACACAGAATTGAAATAATGGCAGAATGAAGCAAAATTACCAAACACAATGCCTACTACAGAAGTTTAGTGCAAGCATACCATAGGATAAAACATTTTGCTACCTTAATTCATCAACCTTTTAATATATATATACACACACACACACACATACATTATCTGCAAACATGTTCTAGCAACAGAATAGTTCCTTTGGTGCTTTGTTTATTATATTTCTGCTGGTGGAGTGAAAGAAAACCACAAACAACGGGTGCGTTAGCTTTACCTATTGATGAATATAGGGGGGAAGAGTGGAAGGGAAGTGAGAAAATGGAACTTCAAAGGCAACACAATAAGAAAAGTGCTTCGAGGAGGAGAATTTCTCGACAGATTAAAGATGTTAAAGTGCCCTTGTGACGCTTTGGTATATTTACAATTACTATTTTAGCCTTGGGGCATGCACTTGATGAATATAACATGTCTGATCAATACATTAGTTTTGAAAAGATCTAGTGATTCCTGTACATTAGAGTTCCAGTAACCTGGTTGTGTGCATTACTCAATGAAATTCAATCAGCGAACATCTGAAGAACTGTTCAAAAGTCAATACTTTGCTTAACTATCAGAAGTTGGATGTTGGAAATAAAAATCAGGTGAATTTGAGTCGCACAGAACCAGCAGCCAAGCCTTACCATTCTCTCAATAAGCATTAATAGAGAAGAAACTACACTAAACTAGTACAACAGAAGTAGCTTTTATACACTAGCTCAAAAGAGTAGATAGAATATATAAGATACATAGCAAACTTGAATTGGAGGGGGGTTCCAAAGCCCTTTGAGGTACGAACAAAAGAAGAGCAAGAGTTATCTAGAAGTCATAGAAATCACCTTAGATGCAAAAGGAAGAGGATTACTTTGGTCATTCTAATTACAATCAGCTGTAGACTATATACAGAACTAAACTCACCTGTTACTGTTGCAAAAAGATGTCATGATAATGCAAAAGCAACCTAAAACCTGCAAAATACCGCGCCTGTTCTGCATCAAATAACTTTTTTGTCTTAACCCTTCCCTTTCTATATCTTGTGGTTGAACAGAACAAAACAAAAGATGGATGAAATAATGCTGGTATTCAAATCATTGGTTCTTACCATCAGTGATTTTCGGTTTGAATATGACCTTCGTAAAAGACAACATTTTCGTCGGGATACTTGCTGCTAAATGGATTTAGTCGTAGTAGTCATTATGATCATCATGGTCCCGATGGCCAACGCTGGTATCAGATAACCAATGAACGTCATCATCAGATACAGAATAATCGCTACTTTGATCTGAGTAGTCAGCACCACGAGATGAATGATCAAATATGTCAGCATCGAATTGATAACCATAAGTGGAATCATGAGGGAGCTTTAGATCGACAATCTGTTGTTTACATCTTCTTCCTAAATCCCCTTCAAGACTGAGATTATAACAGTGGCGTACGTCCAGCGATTCAAGGTGTGGACAGCCATCAAGAATGGCCTGCAGGCCTTCATTTGTCAAGATATTTCCAAAGAGGATCAGGTGCCGCAGTTCAGGCATACTTCTGGCAACAGCTAGAGCTTGATCATCACATAGATAACGCGGAGGACTAAATCCTAGAAATCCATAGGCATTCGATGTAAATGACTTGAGCATAGGGCAAGAATGACCAATAACTTCCATATCATTGTAACTAATAACAGAAAAGTATAGATGCAACTCCTCCAACAGAGGGAAGTTCTTAGCAGCTGCAGCCAAACATCCAAATATGATACAATGACACCTGACAAGTCTGAGATGTCTGAGCTGACTTGATCTGTTCAAAAGGTTTCCAAATTTGATTACTTTAAGAGAACTTTTATTTTAGTGGAGGTCAAGAAAAGTAATGAGAAAGTATAAATAAGAAACAACAGCCAGAGCACCTTTAAAAAAGTAGGTTACTGAACCATCAGGATAACGTGAACCCAAGAAATACAAATGAACTTAGCAACAAAAACATGGGAAAAGTGTACTTAACCACCAAAATGCACAGGTGTAACCAATATAAATCCTCAATATGACACTATCACCAAAAGGCAGAGAAGTTTTTTGACATGAACAGAAGATGTAAAGCCACACTTAAAACGCACTATTCAGTTCCTCCTTCCCCGGTCACTTTCCTCTTTCGTTACCTTCTTTCTTCCTAGCAAACTCTGTATTTGTGAGCAAATGAATTGCTGCTTCATCTGCTCTTAGCATCAGCTACATGTTAGCACTTCATCCAGCATTAATCATTTCCTCCTTCAGAATTTTTGCTTTGTTCTTTCTGCAGAAGGGATAAAGAGGAGACATACCACTTTACTTCCATTATAGATATAAACCGAGTTTAGTGGGCATCGGACATACCAATGTTCACACTCTGCAAATTACCATTTCTCATTATCGTTCTCGTAAGCCAAAGAGTTGTCATTTTATGGTTACTTATCAAAGAAAAGAGTCCCTTTTTGTTGTCCCAACTTTTGTAATATTTCTAGGAAATCCTGTTTCAGCTTGCCCCTATTCTATAAGTTCCTCCAGATGTGTATGATCTTTAGGGCGGGTAATCACAAATTGCAACTTACTCACAATTTGAATGATATTAGCTTAAACATTAATGTATGGTGTTTCTGTATGAACTAGGATGTATGTACTAGGAATGCAATTGTATCAAGCCCTTAACACGTACTTCAGGCATGAACTGACATTCAATTGGAAATGTTGGGTTAGGTACTGGTAGAATGACTCGAGCACAAATAAATAAATAAATAAATAAAAAGGTGTTAGGCTAAGGAACTGGCAAGCCAAGATCCCTTATTCAGTAAAAGTAGTTTTATACTTTTATATTACATACACATGCATCCTTTACAAACCTTGCAACGTACTTCCTTCTTAACTGCATGTGTAGATTTCTTTTTTCTTATAAGGTGTAGAATGCTGGGTTTATCTAGTTGTATTAGAATAAATGATGGGTCAATCTAATATTGGAGCAATAATCTGAAAGCCAGAATATATCAGAATGTAGACAAACTTGTGTGATGGGAATGAGGCCTTTTCTTCTTCAAGCATCTTGTTCCTCTCCTTCCCAAAATTGCATTTTTCTCCTCAATCATCAGTGAAGATTTTTGTCTTCTCCCTGACTGTTTTCTGATTCCCCTATTCCTCATATCTCTGCCAAGCATCTCTTCTTCTTTATGTAAAGAAACTTAAAAATCCTCAAGGATATCAGCTGTAATGCTATTAATCTAAAATTCCAAAATCACGGACTCCAGACCCTCCACACAAAGGAGTTGAAGGAACAGCAAATTCCAAAATCTTGGTGATTTCAGGGTATGCCTACTGTATTCACTAAACATTTGCATTATTATTTCTTCTTCTTTTTTTGTTGTTCATTTGCATGATAATGATTCGGAGATCTTGCAAAGTGGAACCATGCAGTACCAAACACATAATTGATCTTCCAAAGAACAAGGCCTTTTCGAATAAGCCAATTCATTTAGTACCCTGCAGATCCACTCCTTTTCTTATTCAAAGATCAGCCCTTGGCTCTTTGTTTTCATATTGAGAATTGTCAACGGGGCTTCTCACTTCCCAAACATATCCTCTTACATTTATATACAAACCAAGAATACGCAAGAAAAATACTTCGAATTGTTGATTTATTGTCAGAGATAAATAGTTTAGTATCTAATGGAAAACATTAAAACTAGAAACCAAACAAAAAACCTCAATATTTTCCTCATTTTCATAAATGTTCTAGGGAACTGTAATATAACTTTTCATGATAATTGTTTCAGCTTTACATTGGAACTTGGAGTTTAAACACGTGGATTTCACATACTTAACAACAGGACAAAGCTCGAAGAAAGAAGCAAATTTCAAATCAAGCTCAGATTTGACCCAAGTACATGATATATAGGGATTTCTGAGTTCAAACATCAAGGATCCAACTCGATTCAGCTGAACAGCCGTCCTACTTATTAACTATGTTTATTGCTTGAAACAAATCAAGAGTTGGTATCAAAATAGTTATGGACGTTGGCATCTAAAAAGGTACGCATAGAGGTTTACAACAGGAACCTAGTGATCTATTTGCCCCGGGGGTTTTGGCCTAACGGTTAGAGCACAACACATGATGTGTTGGTTAGGCGCACATCACTAATTTGAACCTTGCTGCAGAAGTCCTGGTAGTATTTAATTGGAGAAAGGTAGAGGGACGGTCCCAGAGGTGGACCCCAGATTTATATATGGCGGGTGCATCCTGCCTTAATCCGTACAGTTGGCTCTCGTGATAGTGCATTTGATTGGTTGTTCGATTCTACGTTAATTTAGCGCAATTCTTGACTTAGCATATGTTAACTTTGTTACATTTATTCAAGTTATATATATAAATCAATCATCCAATTATTTAAATAGATTCAGCTTTGATTTAATCAGAGTTTCTACTTCCAAATGAGAATTGTACGTTTTACGAGCACTTAATAAATTACAAGGAATCACATCTGTTCAAACGATAATACAAATGAAAAACGAGATGAGTAAACTTAAATATAACATCCGTGAGAGAGTGTGTGTGCAAAAAAGATGTAAATATGGATTAGAAATTAATAGAGATAGAAAAGAATTAAAGGAAAAGGAAAAAGGAGCAAAAGAAGAATGAAAAATGATACCTAAGGACACTACTGGTGAAAACTGTAAGAAACGAGGTAAGGAAAAAGGTGAAAAATAATAAAAACAAAGAAATGGCTCGGGGAGGTACTACCATCTGTCATACTAAGTGTTTACAAGAGTAAACTATCTTTGAATTCAAAAAAGAAAAAAAAAAGATTAATTGCACGAACTGGTTTCGAACCCAAGACGTCATTCAAGAAAAGGGCCTCAGCAAGCTTCTCGACCAACGCTCCCGTCCAAAAGTTTGTGATAGAGGGGGCCAACTAAATTATTTAAGGGGTCCTCCATGTATATACAAATACATATACGGCATGTATATGGTGTTTTTGTTGAGGCTAACGGGTGTTTTTGTTGAGGCTAACGGGCTCCGATGACCCCTCTATACCCAACATAGATCCGCCTCTGGACGGTCCCATTACCAACTGAGTTTCGAACCATACACCATTGCTTTTTGGGGATTTCTCCGTTATCTAATAAAAAAACTTAGTGATCTGTTCTTTCCACTAGATTTAAATAGGGGGCAACAAATCAATGGCAGGGAAATGGGTGGGATTCTAAGACCTTTGGTCCCTGTAAGATCAAGGATAAGTCCATTCCCACAGAGTCATATAAATTATGCTTCTGGCCCTTGATCTGTTCATAAAAACCCACTAAAGGTCTATCTAAAAGCTAATAATATGAAGGATTCTTGTTAAAAGCTTGCACATTTGAAGCCCCTCGCGTTTGAGTAAAGCAGCAGCCCAGACATAGATCGTATTAAGCGTTTAAACTTTGCTAGATTACCTACAGCTTCAGGGATTAAGCAAGACTTAACAATCACTGCATATGCTATAGTTTTGGAGTTATAATTCAAGATAATTTATTGTTAAGACAAGTGCTTTAGACAATATTTATTGTACCTCTCAGCAATGTGGTTGAACAAGTCGATGTCGCCAATATTCTCGATGTTAATTTTGACTAACTGGCCTTGGCTACGATCCACAGCGACCTTACACATCTCAATCTTATCCAAGTCATAGCGCAAGTCGCTATTTACATCATTTATCATGTCAATGACTCGCCACATAACGGGGTCATGGCACACCTTCCACCACGTACTACAAACTCTCTGCGCATTGTTCAGTATATCTATCACTCCCACCCGCTGCAAAATATCTGCCGTGATTTCCAGCGGAAGCTCCACCCACGGCGGCGACAGCTGTGGTGGTGAGGAGCGGGATGATGAGGTTTTTGGGTTTTTCTGTCGGGCTCTCCGTTTTTTCTGCTTACGCCTCTTTGGCCACGGCATTTTCTTTTCCTCCGCATTTGTCAAGGGTTTTGCCTTTAATTTGGAGTATAAAAAGCCACTCCTTTGAGAATATTGAGTTAAATGTGGTCCCTAGAGTCTATTCACGTCGCACCTATTCTCACTTTAATTATTACTACTCACTCCGTTTTCTGGCCCGGAATTTAATATTTAGGGTAAGACTTTGGCCATGTCACTTAAATATGTAGCAAGTGACAAAAATACCCTTAAAGGCCCACTGATTACCTTTTAAGCGGAAACCACAGTAAAAAGAAACAAGCAGCACCAACGTTTCCCATTTCTTCTTACACATTAATTGAGGTATCCATTTTCCCATACTTTACTCATATATCAGCTTTAAGCTTTAGTTCCAAAGTCATAAATTAGTCTGCTTTTTTTCCCTTCTCTTACATATTCTTACACACGTGCACAACTTTTTAAACATTGACTTTTCAACTTAATAAAAAATTCATAAATTGCTATGATTTTTGTAAATTCTTTTTGGAACGGATTAAAAAAAAAATTCATTCACATAAACTGAAACAGAGGGGTACTACTTTCTTTGTTACAATTTATGTGATATTATTTAATTGGATATGAATCTTTTTTTTAAAATAAAATAAATTATAAATATTTATTAAAAAAATTTATAAGTTAAATTATTTTGAAATATAAAAATTGTAATGACCCAACCAGTCATTTTGACTTTTAGAACCACGTTCCCCTAAATAATACTTCTCGTATGTGCTTTTATTAATTTATGACGTGGGGATGGTTGATCAGAATTTGAAGTGATAGGGTTGAAATCGGAACAATTAGTTCCTTAGTTTGGCTTTAAAAGGCCAAGTTTGACTTCGGTCAACATTTTGAGAAAACGACCCCGGAATCGGGATTTAACTGTTCCAATAGGTTCGTATGATGATTTCGGACTTGGGCGTATGTTCGAATCGGGTTTTGGATAACCCGGGAGCGTTTCGGCGCTTAATAGTGAAAATCAACTATTTGAAGGTTTAAAATTCTTTAAATTTGGTTTGGAATAGGTTTTGGAGTAATCAAGGTCCGTTTGAAATTTCGAGTTTGGGAATAGCTCCGTATGGTGATTTAAGACTTGCACGCAAAATTTGGTGTCATTCCGAGTAGTATAAGTATATTTCGGCGCGTTTGGAGTAAGTTTGAAGAATTTGAAATTTTTAATTTGAATCAATTTGGTTTGGGGTATGATTTTTAGATTTAATGTTGTTTTACATGTTGCGAGAGTTCGAGCAAGTCCGTTTTATGATTTCAAACTTGTTGGTATGTTCGGGCAGGGCCCCAGGGGGCCCAAGTGTTAACCGGACGAGGCTTAGACCAATTTTGGAATTTGGAAGAAGAACTGAAGTTTTCTGCTTCTGATACGTTAGCACCTGCGCTTGGACAGCCGTAGGTGCGACCCTCGCAGATACGAGTTTTGTTCGCAGAAGCGGAAAAGGGAAGGGGAGGCCATCGTTGCAGATGCAGAATTTTGGCGTACCTGCGAACGCGCAGGTGCGAAGCAGTGTACGCAGATGCGACCTTGGTCCAGGCGAGTGAAACGCGCACCTGCGAGGAATTTCCGCAGGTGCGAAAAAACTACTTGGGCAGAACCTTAAAAACGGACGAGGCTCAGTTCATTTTACTTTGTTTTTCTTCCATGTTTGGGCGATTTTAGAGCTTTTGAGAGGGGATTTCAACTAGCAACTTGAAGGTAAATTAATTATACACACTTTGAGTTAAATACATAGATTATGGGTAGATTAAAACCTGTAAATCTTAAAAATTAAGGGTTTAGATGAAAAACCTAGATTCTTATAAAAATGAGATTTTAACCACGAAAATGGTTATGGAATTTGATAGAAATTATATATTTGAGTTCTTGAGATTATGGGTAACGTTTTTCTCCAAAAATTTTCGAAATCCGGGCACATGGACTCGGGATGAATTTTAGGAATCTTACCATTTTGGATAGGGTAATTTATTTAATAGATGAATTTCGAATTATTGAACATGCATTAATTATTTTATATAACTTTTGGATAGTTTCAGATTTTTCGGCAATGAATTGAGGTTTTTACGCGACATTTGATCGGAAAAGTGGACTTTGAGACAAGGTAATTCTCTTGTCTAATCTTGTGAGGAGGAATTTACCCCATAGATGATTTAAATTAATAATTGTTGTTAAATGTGGGGGCTACATACATACGAGGTGATGAGTGTCCGTACGTAGCTACTATTTATGCTAAAGTCCGGGTAGTTTAGGACTCAAAAATCATGAATTACGTGTGTAAATTATATTCTTCATTTACTTAAATTATTTATAATACATTGTGAATTGTTAGGGAAAGATAGTAAAAGATGAAAACCTCATACACTTAATTTTCTGTTTAAATTAATTAATTATTAAAATAAATTGTGCATCCTCTCGTATTAATTTATCAATGAATAAACTCTCATTCCGGAGGTACATAAGAAAATGTCCTCCTTTATTGTGGAGCGGGACGAATGACTCGGTAGTATAGATGCATTTATAGATCGCGTCGCACGTCCCTCGGCAGTGTACACGACACTCTGGATTGGGTCGTACGACCTCGGCAGAAATCGTGCCTAATAATAATAATTACACGATACCTTGATATTTAATTGCAGCTTGTGAATTTAATTAATAGATTAGAAATTGTTGCATTTGAAGAAATTTAATTATTTCTGTTGGTTTAATAATATTATTTTTAACTCTTTGAATCATGTTGATTTAAATATTTTTATTTTTATTATATTTATTTATTTATTATTATTGACCCTTAGTGAGTGTCAAAGTCGACCATCTCGTCTCTACCTCTTCGAGATTAGGCTTGATACTTAGTGGGCACACGTTGTTTACGTACTCATGCTACACTTGCTGTACTTTTTGTGCAGGACCTGATATATGTGCTATAGTTGGACCTATCGGCCCGCACACACGATATCAAGAGGCTTAGTGGTGAGCTGCCCTTCTTAGCCATTCTGCAGCAACCAGTGCCTCTTCCTGAATTTTTATTCTGTCTATTCTATTTCAGACAATATTTGAATTTTTGTATAATCTACTAGATGCTCATACACTTGTGACACCAGATCCTGGCACACACACTAGTAGAATTTTTGGATTTAATTATTTTTTTGGTTATTTTAATTTACAAGATCTTTTCACATTATCTTGATTATTGCAAGTAAGAAGAGTTTAATTACTCGGTTAATTTTAAAGAATAGAATATGGGTTTAAATTACTGGTTGGCTTGCCTAGCTATAGTGTTGGGCGCCATCATGGTCTATATGTGAAATTGGGTCGTGACAACACGGTATCAGAGTACTAGGTTTACATAGGTCTCACAAGTTATGAGCAGACCTAATAGAGTCTTGCGGATCGGTACAGAGACATTTGTACTTATCTTCGAGAGGCTATAGGGTATTAGGAAACTACCTTTCTTCATCTTCCATCGTGCAATTGATGTGATACTAAATATCTTCCTCTTATTCTCTCACAGGTGGTGAGAACACGCTCTAATGAGGTTCCAGACCAGGGAAGAGCTACTTCCCTAGTTGTTAGAGGCCGAGACAGAGGCCGGGGGAGGGCTCCATCCCATGGTAGGGGACGAGGATGTCCCAGGACTGTTCCAGTTATGCCGCCAGTGGGTCCAGTAGAGAATCTCGTTATTGAGGAACATGGCGAGGTGCATGTGGCAGAGCCAGCTTTGGTGGATTTCACATCTACACCGGGATTCCAGGATGTCATGGGTCGTATGCTGCGGTTCATGGACACTATGACCCAGGCCGATTTATTTCTGGCAGACCAAGCCACATCTCAGGCAGGCGGGGGAGCGCAGACCCCTACCGCACAGGCTCATGGGCAGGTAGTTGCTGTATATTAGACCCAGGGTGCACTACCCGTGGGTGGAGCCCAGCCAGTGACAGCAGCTACACCTGAGCTCAGGCCAGTTGCAGCCGCTGATCCGCAGAAACTATTGGACAGATGGACTAGACTACATCCTCTTGTATTTGGGGGCGAACGACATGAGGATCCCCAGGACTTCATTGATCGGTGTAGGGACAGACTGCACAACATGAGGATATTGGAGTCTCATGGGGTAGACTTTTCTACTTTTTAGCTAGAGGGCAGAGCCCATAGATGGTGGAAGTCTTATCTTCTTGGCAGACCAGCAGATTCTCTTCCCATGACTTGGGACAGGTTTACCTGTGTTTTCTTGGACAGATATATTCCACCCTCCCAGAGAGAAGAGTTGCAGTTTCAGTTTGAGCAGCTCCAGCAAGGTCAGATGTTAGTGACCGATTATGAGGCAAGGTTCTCTGAGTTATCTCGACATGCACTTATGATACTCCCTACTGAGGCAGAGAGAATGCAGAGGTTTGTTGCGGGTTTACATACTGGCATTCAGGCCACTATGGCTCGAGAGGTTGAGATGGGTACTTCTTATAAGCTAGTCGTGGAGATAGCCCGGAGGACTGAAGGTGTGCGTCAGCGTAGCCGAGAGTAGGTTATAAGAGATAAGCGGTTTAGGTATTCTGGAGAGTTCAGAGGTGCTCCGTCTGGGGGCAGAGGTCAGTTCGTGAGAGGACAGTCCAGTAGACCCCCATATCTAGCACCACCGCCTCCTCGGGGTCCTCAGTGCGACCTTATTTTAGTATTATGCTAGAGAGTTCTTATCACCCACCGGTTATTCAGGGTTCTTCCAGTGGGTATTCAGGTCACCAGGGCCAGATTCTTAGTCGGTATCCCATCGCACCTAAGAGTTGTTACTAGTGCAGGGATCCCAGTCACATGCAGAGATTTTGTCCCAGGCTTCGGGGTAGACCAGTGCAGCAGGGTCAGCAGCCTATGATTACCGCACCAGTTGCTCCACCAGTCTCCCGACCACCAAGAGGTGGAGGACAGGTGGGTAGGGGCCGTTCTAGAGGTGGAGGTCAACTAGGCGGAGGCTAGCCAGTTGGCGCTCCAGCTCGGTTCTATGCTTTTCTAGCCAGACCAGATGCAGAAGCCTC